AAAAGACACACTCCAGTCCTGACCCCGGAACCTGTGAGCGGGACCTTTCTTGGAAATGGGGACCGTGTGGATGGAATTGGCTAAGATGAGGTCACAGTGGAACAAGCGGCCGCCACCCAGGGCCGGGTGTCCTCGTGAGAAGAGGGCACGTGGACGCAGACTCGCAGGGAGAAGCCACGCGAGGACCGAGCAGAGGCTGCAGGGACGCGGCCACGGCCGAGGACGCCCAGGGCTGCCGGCCGCTACCAAGAGCTGGAGGAGCAGGAAGGACCCTCCTGGGGGCCCTCGGGGAGAGTGCGGCATGCGACCCCTTGACCTCGGACTTCCGCCCCCAGAGCTGGAGGAGGACAAGCTGTCGTTGCCCCAACCCCCAGCCGTGGTTCTCTGTCCCGCAGCCCCGGGGCGCTCGGAACCTCCGACGTCCACTCTCCCTGCCTCCTCGGGGACCGACACCAGGCCAGGCCGGGAGCCACCTGCCCTGGGGTCCTCTGAGAAGAGAGCAGGCCACGCCTGACGGTTCTTGAACCCAGGGGGTATCATGAGATCAGAGCTGCCGCCTCCTTGGCCCCCGCTTGACTGTTCACACCTCAACCAGAGCAATCAGATCACACGGTCCCCCACCCAGCAGAGTCCATGCCCCACCCAGAACTTGCTGTTCCCCAGGGCCAGGCAAACCTCCATCCTGCCTCAGGGCCTTTGCACGGCTGCTGCCCCCATCTGTCCCTCTTTGGCTAACTCCCACCCACCCTGCACACTCCTCCTTGGACCCCCGCCCTGTCCTTTCCCCACAGAGCCCCCTGTACTTGCCCACCCACCCAGGGCACCAAAGCCCCCTGAGGACAGGAGCTGGTCCCTCCCTGGCTGTTGGAGCTTGGCGTGTGGGACGTGTCCAGTGACCCTTCGCTGAGTGAACGAGGACGTGACTGTGGACAGCATCCATCACACAGAATCTCCCCGTGACCAGCAAAGGTTTCTGCCCCGGGGCCAGGGTCTCAGTGTAAGGAAGACCCCGGAGGGTGTCCACACACTCGGGGTTTGGGGAGGGCGGGGTCTGGGGGGGGCGGCAGCGGAGAGGATGTCGTAGACTCAGGAGACGCCTCGAGAAAGCAGACACGGAGTGGACAGGGCGCGGCTGGCGGAGGCGCCCACGGCCAGTAGGACAGCGACAGCCCCTGACACGTGGCGGGGAGGGGGCGGGCAGCGCCATCCGCCAGCAACAGCGCGAGAGCCGCAACCCCAGGGCTGCTGGGGAATTTTGAATTTCCTAGTAGACGAGTTAAAAAAATGAGTAAAGAGGGGCCGGCCTGGTGGCGCAGCGGTTAAGTGCGCACATCGCGCTTCGGCGGCCCAGGGTTCACCAGTTTGGATCCCGGTGTGGACATGGCACCGCTTGGCAAGCCATACTGTGTCAGGCGTCCCACATATAAAGTAGAGGAAGATGGGCATGGATGTGAGCTCAGCAAAAAGAGAAGGATTGGCGGCAGATGTTAGCTCAGGGCTAATCTTCCTCAAAGAAAAAGCCGAAATTTGTTTTAACATTTTACTGAACCCAGTACACCTGAAATATCACCATTTCCGCGCGTGTTCGAGAGAAAACGTTCCCAACGAGTGAGGTCCCGTTCTTGGGCTGGATTTTGGAAACCCCGCGTGTCTCTTACGCAACCGGAGCATCTTCACTCTGACCGGCCACCGGCAGGTGACTGACGGCCACGTGTGGGCGGCTCAGCGCTGGAGGCCACTGTCCCCGTCCGTCACGGCCATCAACTGACAGGCAGGGGCTTCGTCCTAACCCACAGCTTCCAGGCCGCCCCGCAGACCTGCCTGACCTGAAAGTCCCCCCCCTGCTACCTGCTCTTTGCCCCAGGGGGCCGCCCTGGTCCCCTCCAGCCCCGAGGGGGCCCCCTGCGGCCACGCTGGCTTTCCGGCTTGTCCGTGGCTTTGCACCCCACTCCCGCTCTGCCCTCGGTCCCAAACACGGCACCAACGTGGACGCCGAGACCCCTCCTGTACCTCGGGGAGCCTCAGACCCGTCCCCAGCCGCCCCGCCGGCCCCGTGCCTGATCCTCACTCACAAATCCAGTCAGCCGTTTCCAGAAAGTTCTCCGTCACACAGAAATGAGAATGGAGATGGCCCGCGTGGAGAAATAATGTTGTTAAAACCACTGATTAAGTTTTACACGACCGCGCGAGAGCCGACGAACAGGTTTTCGCTTTTTAATTTAAGGGAAGAGGAATATGATCTAATTTCAATTTGCGATAAGATAAGATGTTCCCGATACTGCGACTCTGATCGGATTACGTCCTAATGCGCTCTGTAACGTGTCAGCGCCTCCGACGGAGGTGGGTGCGTGCTGCCTGAGTGACGACGCGATGGGCCGGTGCTCGAGCCATCCGTCTTCATCAGCGGCCCCGGCCCACCCGGGAGACCCCGTTACTGCAGGATCTGAAACTCCGACCCGGGACCGGAGGGCTAGGAGGGGACCTCCGGGTGGACCGGCAGGAAGGGGCCCCCCCCCCGGGTGCCTCCTTGTGCCTCCACCCTGAAGGGCACGGCCGGCCCTGGGTCAGTGGCCCGGGGGCACCTGGGTGGTGGAGGAAGCTGGCTCAGGCCCTGGGGCGTCGTGGAGGCCCTGGGCAGACCTCCCTTCCCGGGAAGCCCAGAGACGCTGCGACGCGGGCAATGTAAGGTCACACAGTCTGTGGGCGAGTGAGGCTCCCACCCTGGACCCGGCCAGACACAGCCCTCCTCTGGGGAGCCCCAAACGGGCCGGGCCGCTGAGCCCCTGGGAGGAGCCCCTCGCAGGGGGAGGCCCGGCTCCCCACATCCTCCCAGAGGGAGGCTGAGGACCCTGAAACCCAGGCCTCGCCCCTGCCTGACACGTGACCCTGGGCGCTCCTCCATGACTCAGTTTCCATGACTCAAGTCAGAGGGACAGGGTGCGAGGCTGTGCCTGCTTGGTTTTTGTGAAGGGCCTGTGTGGTGGGGGGCTTCCTGGCGGCCACCCCTTCCCCACCACTTTCCGCTGCCCACCCCCAAGTGCCCCCCAAACTTGGACATGGCCAGGCCTCAGCCCACGGCCCCACTGCTCTGAACGGCCTCCATGGCAGGCCATGGCCCCAGACCTGCTGGGCCACAGGGACGTGTGTGGACGTGGGTGGGGGTGCAGCCCAGGGACACCCTCCCCGACCCCCCGGCCTCGAGGAGTGCCTCCTGTAAGCACAGGCAGGAGTACTGAGCGCCTCCTGTAAGCACAGGCAAGAGTACTGAGCGCCTCCCATATGTGCAGGCAGGAGAACTGAGCGCTTCCAGTACGTGCAGGCAGGAGCACTGAGTGCCTCCTGTAAGCGCAAGCAGGAGTACCGAGTGCCTCCTGTAAGCACAGGCAGGAGTACTGAGCGCCTCCTGTAAGCACAGGCAGGAGTACTGAGCGCCTCCTGTAAGCGCAAGCAGGAGTACCGAGCGCCTCCTGTAAGCACAGGCAGGAGTACCGAGCGCCTCCTGTAAGCACAGGCAGGAGTACCGAGCGCCTCCTGTAAGCACAGGCAGGAGTGTGCGGCCGGGAGCCACCTGCCCACATGAGCCTTGTCCGCTCGGCTGCACCAGGTGGCTGTGTCCCCTGGAGCCCGCAGGCCCTCTCTCATTTGGGGTGAAGGCCCCTGGGCCTCCTGGCAGGCTGTTGGGGGCCCCTGGGAGGTGGGACCTGGGCCGGGCCTCCTCGGAGCTGTGGGCAGTGAGGCCAGGCCCCCTGTGCCCCTGGAGCCATGCTCTGGTCCCCAAGGCCCCCCGCTCTGCTCCCGGCTGAATGGACATCACAGGACCTGGAACTCCCGTGTCCCCAAGGATGCGCTGGTGCGTGACCTTCCACGGCGGGGTCGTCTGGGGTCGGCAGCGGCTGGGCCCCAGGCCGGCAGCATGACAGTCTGCTGGCGGCTCAGGGCCAGGGGGACTTGGCCTGCCCGGGGGCTCCATTTACCGGGCACCAACCTGTGCCCACCCAGCACCCCCAGGGCAGCCTCTGGGGCCCCGGGGAGCAGCCGTGATGGGGCGGAGCTCCCTCGCTCCGTGGGGACGCCTCTGAGGCGCGTGTCCCCAGCAGGGCCAGTCCCAGTGTCCCAAGGCCCTAACGGGCTGGACAACACATCCTTCTGCGGAATCCGTCTCAAAGACCCCACACTCGTCCCAGGCCAGCAGGGGGTCCCAGGGCCATGTGGAGGGCGCAGCCCAGGGAGCAGTGCAGACGGGTCCCAGGTTCCCATCCCAGGCCGCATGTACTTGCTGTGTGACATCAGGGGGGTGGCGTCACCTCTCTGAGCCTCAGTTTCCTTTTCAGTAAAAGGAGCTACTTTGCTGAGTGGCCCTCTGCCTCCCCCTGGTGGTGAAGAGGCCACACTGCGTGGGTCCCCGCGGGGCACGTCTGGGAGGACAGCGTGGGGGCCGCGGCTCAGCCAGAGGGTCAGGCGGCTTGACCCCGCCTGCCACCAGGTGGGGGAGCGTTGGCGTTCAGCCATTGCCGAGGTCCACCGGGACCACATGACGGGCTCCCGAGGCGGCTGGAGACGGGACAGGAAGACGCGGCCACCAGCCGCCCCTCACAGACGGGGAGACCGAGGCCGGAGGGGACGTCACTCTCCCGGGTCTCCGGAGAGGGGCCAGGGCGGCTCGAGGACTCGGGCCTGAGCGGCAGGAAGCCCCTCGGCCTGCTCCCCGCCACCAGAAAGCAGGAAGGGCGCCGGCCCCCGCTCCCGCGCTTGACCTAGGAACCTGGCCACAGGGCCTTGGTCCGGCCGGCCTCGCCCCGAAGACCAAGGTCGCAGACCTCCAGCTCCAGAAATCCCTCGAGGGGCCAGCACCCGAGGGCACCTTGCACAGGCCCCGCCACGTCCCGCCCCGAGAGGCTCCCGTCCAGCCCGTCCACGCGGCCCCAGGCCGGGCGCGGCCACACCGTGCAGACCGGAGCACGGCCGGGCCCCGGAGACGCACGCAGGAGAGGGACCCAGGCCACGAGCAGAGTCTCTTTATTAGGGCCACTCGGGCCCGCAGAGAGGGTGTGCGGTCCCCACGGCCCGGCCCCGCCCCTCGGTGCGCCCTGCTCAGCCAGGCGGGGGTCCTGCGGCGGCTCACTCGGGGGTCCTGCTTCTGCTCCTCGGGGACCAGATGCTGGACAGACGGAACCTCGGTTTCTTCCTCTGGGACCCGCCGCTTCTCTGCAGGTCTGCGGGCGACGGGCGCTGCGGCTCGGCTCACCCGTCCTCGGCCACGGCCCCCGGGTCCCTCCCTCCCGCCAGCAGAGCCCTCCCGGGGCCCCTGAGCCTGCAGGATGCCCAGACCCTCCGCCCTCCCCCACGGGAGCCATGGGGCGCCGGCCTTCACAGTGGCCACCCAGACCGGGCACCCCTCGCCCCGCCCACACCAGCTACTTCTTGGATCCTCTCAGTGACAGGGAACTCACTCCCACACCCTGACTGTGTGGTCACCATCTGCTTCTCAGATCCCCAAGCAACCGGGAACTCGATCCCTCCAGGTGAGCCCGCCTGTCTCCAGGTGGACGTGCATCCATGTCCCCAGGAGGCCCAGCCTCGCCCGACCGCCAGCCCGACCCCCAGGCCTGCCCTGCCCCCAACTTACCCAGCTTCTGGATCATGTTCTGGAGCACCTCGTCCTCCTCCCGCTCTCTGAAACGGGACCAAGGGGGCCGTGAGGGGCAGCAGGCCCTGGGGGGCACGTGGGCCTGCCTCAGTCCACCCCACCCCTGAGCCCAGAGCCCACCTGACACCAAGGTCACCGCCAACAGGCCACACCTTGGCACTGCCCTCTCCCTCCCTGGCACTTCCTCAGCTTCCCGGGCCCAGACTCTCATCAGGACACGGGGACAGGAGGGGCCCGGGACGACCCAGGACAGTGACATGGGGACAAGAGGGCCCTGAGATGACCTGAGACAGTGACATAGGGACAGAAAGGCCCTGGGATGACCCAAGACAGTGACACGGGGCAAGGGGGCCTGGGACAACCTGGGACAATGACATGGGGACAGCAGGGTCCCGGGACGACCTGGGCCAAGGCCCCGTCAAACTCAGAGAGTAACGTGTTTGAGTCTCCACCTGGGCCTCTAACCCTGGGTGGCCTGGAAAGGTCCCTTGTCTAGACGCGGGGACAGGAAAGCTCTGTGGGGACAGTTGTGAAGCTGGTGGCCCAGTGCAGCACCAGGGGACACACGTGGCTGCATGCATTGAAAATAAAAATAAAAGTGACATTGCATCCTCTACTGCACGGGCCACAGTGCAAGCGCCCGACAGCCATGTGTGACCCGCGGCGGCGCAGCGGACAGCACGGGCCCGAGAGCAGTCCCACAGTCGCAGAAAGTTCTGTCGGCCAGGGCCCTCCTGACCGTCTGGGAACACGGGGGACTGAGGGGCTTTGTGGGGGGGGGGCCTCTGACAGGCTGCCTGGGCAGGGCCCTCGGCCTTGGCCCCACCTGGGGATGTGCACGGAAGGCAGGGAGGTGACCAATCACAGCCTGGTGGGAGGGGCCTGAGTTCCAGCCCCACTACCTGGGCCCCCCTCACCTGGGCCCTTCTCACCTGAGCCTCCCCCACTCACCTGGGCCCCCACTCACCTGGCCCTTCTCCCCTGCCCTGGCCCCCCTCCCCTGGCCCCCTCACCTGAGCCGGTCCTCGTCCAGGGAGTCGATGATGTCGCTGCGGTCATTCACCGTGTCCACGTACTGGTTCAGCAGCTCCTGCTCCCGTCGCCGGTCCTGGGGTGACTTCAGACCCTCTGCAGGGACAGCCTGCCGTCAGCGGGAACCCTCTGTCCCACCTGCTCAGGGGAGGCGTCCCCACCGCCCAAGGGTCAGGCTCCTGCACTGGAGGAGGCCGCTAGGGCCTCGGGGGCCTGCAGGGAGCTCTTGGCAACTGTGACCGAAGGACCGAATGAGCGAAGGGATGAATTAATGAATGCACGAGTGAACGAGCAAATCAATGAACGACTTGAGTGAACGAATGAATGAGCCAGCGAGTGAGCGACGGAGTGAATAACCGAATCAGAGACCGAGGGTGGCTGGCCCTTCTGGGGGTCGTCTCACCCACTCTCACGAAATCTGCCCACTGCAGAGATGCGGAAACTGAGGCTCGGGGCCTCACCCCCACGGAAGAGGGCAGGGGGGACTGCCAGGACGCGAGCCCCCACCCAGGGGCGCTCTGCCGCGGCCCACGCTTGTCAACACTTGCTTCCTGCACGTTGCGCGCATTAACTCACTTCCTCCTCCAGGCAGCTCAAGGAGGTGGGAGCTAGGCTCCTCCCCACTTTGCAGGGGCTGAAACCCAGGCACAGAGAGGTCAAGTGACCTGGCCAAGGACACACAGCCAGGAAGTGGAGGAGCTGAGATGACTCTGGGCTCCAGGATGTGCCATAACCACAACCCACTGGCCTCTCCAAAGAGTGACCACCCCAGGGAGCCCACTGGAGGGGGCTTGGGAAGCCCATACCCATGCCCACCTCCCGGGGCTGAGCCCCCCACCCCCCGGCTGGCCCGGCTCGGCTGCTCTCCAGGCTGAGGGGACACACCGGGCTTGGCCATCAGCCGGCGCAGCTCCCCCTCGATGTCCAGCTGCTGCTCCTCCAGGCGCTGCTCCCTGGCCCTGCCGAGGGGACGCAGCCGTGAGGCCCGGCCTGCCTGGCCTCCCCACGCCCGCGCCCAGAGGAGGCGGCCGTCTTGGAGGGGGCGGCGCTCAGGGAGGTGGAGGGGGCCTCACTTGTACATCAGCTCCGACTCCAGCCGCAGCAGCAGCTGCTTCTCGTGAATGAGCCGGAACCAGTCCACCATGAGCGCGTCCTCCGAGGCGTCTGCGGAGAGAGCCAGGCTGGGCGCGGGGCGGGCGGGGGCCGCGCGGGGGTGGGCATGGGCGCAGGGGCCGGGGTGTCCCCGGGTCAGGCTGGCGGAGGCGGGGCGGGCGTGGGCTCACCCCCCTCGGCGGCCCGCAGGCGCTTCTCCAGCTCCACGCCGCTGAGCTCCAGGGCGTCCAGCTGCCGCTCGATGTCCTGCACCTGCCGCTGGATCTCTTCCGGGGGCACGAAGTCAGGGTGCAGCTGGGGACGCAGGGCTGGTGAGGGGCGCCTGGAGGCGCCGGGCTGAGCCCCTCACCCACTCCCATCCCGGCCGACTCACCCTGACTGGGGAGGTCACTGCCTTGCCACGTGGAGCCGGGACACTGGCCGGAGCCGGGGGCCTCCCTGGAAAAGGGACAGGACGAGCCTCCTGGACCTGGGGCACCAGGCCCAAGGCGACCCAGACGTGGCCTGGAAGGGGGTCTGACCCCTGACAGCTGGGCCCACCAAGCCCCGCCCCCTGGGACGCCCCCTGCGCCCCCGCCTGGCTTCCCTGCCCTGCCCAGCTGGCCCCTGGGCCGCCCCCACTGGTGCCTAAAGGGCAGGAGGTCACAGGCAGATGCAGGCTCCGTCCCCATGAGTGCCCAGTCCACCCTGGCCCCCGCCCTCCTCCAGGTCAGCAGCACCGGGCAGCCCTCCAGCATCCAGGCCGCCCCGTCCCACAAGCTGCCAGGAGCCGACGCTCCCGGGTTGCCAGGTATCTGCAACTCCGGTGGCGGGAGGCAGTGGGGGCCTCTGTCCAGTCCTCCTGTCCCCACCGGGCACCTCCTTCTCAGAGGACCCCAAACAGAAACGGGGCCGGCACCCCTGGGCTGACCTGGTTTGCTGTGAGGGGGCTTCTCCTCCTCCTTCTGGCTCCAGGCTGGGCCTTCCTGCCCCGACGGCTCGGACCGAAGCCAGTTGTCAGAAATGTCCAGGCTGGCAGGGACGGCCAGCTTCCTGCGTCGGGACGGGGACGGGGACGGGGAGGGGGATGCAGCTGCCCAGGGGTGGGAGACGGACCCACGTGTCAGGCCAGCAGGCCCGGTGTCCTGCCCCCTGCCTCGCTGAGCTGGGCAGCAGGGACACCACGGGCCTCCCCAGCCAGCACGGGGCCACCCTCACAACCCTGCACCCACGTCCCCCTGTGAGGGCAGAATCTTGACCCTGGTTGGCACGGGGGGACAAGGCCAGCGGACTAGTGCACACACATGTGCACATGCTTGCACAGGCACACACTGCCCGCCCAGGACCACTGTCCCGCCCCCCCGTGGTCCCCGGCTGGGGAGGCTCAGGCCACCTCGGGGCCCCGGGTTGGGCCCAGCGTTACCTGAGAGGCCAGGTCCGGGGCGGGGCGGGCTCGGCGTCCTTTGAGGCCGCACAGGGGTCAGGGTGATGCGGACGCCCCCCTCTGAGCCACCAGAGACCTTCCGGGGGGCTTTGCCCACCAGAGGCTCCCCTGGGACCTGAGGCTCCTTTGGCTCCAGGGCCCTGGACGGGAGCAAGAGGTCAGCCGAGGGAGGAGGGATGTCGTGTGCCTCGTGCACCTGACTGGCTACGACCCTCTGGAACACCCACCTCCACGGGTGTGAGCGCGTGCTCTGGGACTCATGGCCGACACACACACACGCACAGACACCCCCAGGCCCAGGGCCCCAGGGTGCACCGGAGCCCGCTGCCCGCACACACGCAACATGCCATCCACACATGCAGGGCGGCCACTCTGCACAGCAGGCCCGGACCAACATGCCCAGCGACCAGGCGGGGCTCGAGGGCCTGCCTGCCCCTGGCACCTGTGGCCTCGTGAGGAAATGTGGCCCTGTGTCACTCAGACTGGTGTGAACTGTCTCCTGTCACTCAGACCGGTGTGAGCCGTTCTGTCACTCAGGCCAGTGTGAGCCATCACTGTCACTCAGGCAGGTGTGAACTGTCCCCTGTCACTCGGGCTGGTGTGAGCCATCCTGTCATTCAGGCTGGTGTGAGCCGTTCTGTCACTCAGGCCAGTGTGAGCCATCACTGTCACTCAGGCTGGTGTGAGCTGTCCCGTCACTCAGGCCAGTGTGAGCTGGCCTCTCTCACTCAGGCCGGTGTGAGCCATCACTGTCACTCAGGCTCGTGTGAGCTGTCCTGTCACTCAGGCTGGTATGAGCCCTCCCGCCATTCAGGCCGGTGTGAGCCGTCCTGTCATTCAGGCAAGTGTGAACTGTCCCCTGTCACTCAGGGAGGTGTGAACTGTCTCCTGTCACTCGGGCTGGTGTGAGCCGTCCTGTCGCTCAGGCTGGTGTGAGCCGTCCTGTCACTCAGGCAGGTGTGAACTGTCCCCTGTCACCCAGGCAGGTGTGAGCCATCCGTCACCCAGACAGGTGTGAGCTGGCTTCTGCTACTACAGCTGAGATGCACACACGTCCCTGCTGTGAGCATGGTTGACACGCACTGTCATTCGCCCGCAAGCATCTGTTGAGGACCTACTGTGCGGCCCTGTGCTGGCTCAGGCTACATGGACACAGACCCTGAGGCCAGGCGGAGGTGCAGGCCCCTCACCTCTCAGTGTGGTCCTTCTTCTCCACGGGCTTCAGGCGGGCCCTCCATCCTGCCGGCCCATCCTCCTGGCCTTCCTGGGGGCTGGCACTAGGGCCTGAGTGGAGGGCAGGGTGATGGGTTGTAGGGTAAGGGGGAGTCTGCCGGGAAAGGCTGGCTTCACCTGTCCTCTCTTCCTGCAGCCGTCCTGCCCTCAGGCATCCCCACGGCCAGCGTGCCACACTGTGCTGTGTGTTCTGGGGAATCACTCCCCCTCTCTGGGCCTCAACTTCCCTGCTGTCAAACAGGTGAGGGTGTGGCAGGCTGAGCCCCAAGGGCACTGACTGTCTGTGCATCTTTGGGCCCCCTCCCGCATGCCATGGATCACTGTCCCACATTACGGGGACTCTTACCCTTTGCCGGTGGGGCCTCCGGCTTCAGCCTGGAGCCAGCACCCACCCTGCTGACCTCTGAGGACACAGCTGAGCTCTTCCTGCCCAGCTGGGGCGGCGTCGATGCCCGTGAGGTGGTGCTCACACTCAGGGGGGCTGGCAGCTCAGTCCTTGAAGGGGGGTGGGCCTGAGGAGATGGTGACGGTGACAGCTTGGCGGATGGACTTGCTCGTGGCCCTTCAGTTCTGGGATGGGAATTCAGAGCAGGGGAGGTAGTTGGGGAGGGCCTGTGGGTGAGAGAGAGGGGGCATCAGGCACAGGTGGATCCAGGAGCCCCTCCCACCATGACCCCCAGGCAGAAGCCTCAGAGCCTCCCTTGGTGGCTGGTTCCCAATGCCCACCCTCCTGAGGGAGGAAAGACAGCCCCTCCGAGGGACGAGGGTCCGACCATGGGCATCCACGTCTGGATGGCTTTACCCTCCTATTCAACTCCAGTATCGGCTGAGATTAAAATGCCCCCGCCACACACTGCAGATGGGGTGTGTGGGTAGCGGCCAGCCTGGGCCTGCCCAGCTCCCTCCTAGTAACATGCCTGAGGCCTCCACAGGGGCTGCATGTCCACAGGCCATCCTGCATCCCCTCGGGGGCACACGCATGCAGAAAGTAAGGCTGCTGGCACCCGACGGGGCCCAAGGCGGGGACCCTGGACACCTCCCCAAGGCAGGGCAGCTCCTCCATGTGCCCACTCTTCACGGGACCATTTCTCTGCCCTGCTTCCCCCCAAATCTGGGCCCAGGGTGACAGCCAAGTTCCAGGAGGAGCTGGGTAACCCCTAGTGAGACACGCCCTTGCACAGCCTCGGCCCCCAGGTGCCCTGGACACCCTGGTGCCAGAGCGGCAGGGCAGGCCAGCTCTCCCCGGCCCTGGGCCCACCTGGGCGCCCCTGGGCACCACAGGTGATCCAGTGGGGGTCAGGCAGCTCTGAGCTGGGAGTCCCCCTGGATGAGGGGCAGAGGGCACAGCATCGTCAGCCAGCTCAGTGTGGAGCCTCCTCATTCCCTAGGTGACTGCAGCCGGGTGAATGGCATCCCTCCCAAAATTCACAGCCCCCCAAAGCTCAGCACGTGAGGTCATTTGGAAATAGGCCCTTTGCAGGTGTAACCAAGTTAAGATGAGGTCACCCCGGATTGGGAGCGCCCCAAAGCCAATGACAAGCGTCCTTATCCGAGACAGAAAAGCAGAAGACAGACTCAGAAGTGCAGACGGAGACAGAGGTGGAGGACGCGGCCACAGGCCAAGGGCCGCCTGGGCCGCCAGGAGCCGGAAGAGCAGGAGGGACCCTCCCCCAGAGTCTTAGGAAGGAGCGTGGCCCCGCGACACCCAGATCTCGGACTTCGGCCTCCAGAGCTGTGGGGGAATCAGGGGCTGTCGGTTTGCGCCCAGCCTGCAGTGCTCCGTCCCAGCGGCCCCAGGACACTAACACGGCACCCCGCCTCCATCCCGCCATGGTGTTTGCCCCGCGTGCAGCATGCGGGAGGCACTGGGACGCAGGCAGGGGGCCGAGCCCCGCTGGGCTCACACGAGCCGACCCTCGGACCACTCACAGCTCGGTCCTCCTCGGTAAAGCGAGTGTCCTCAGACGGCACCAAGAGGGCGCCGCGCAGCGGCCAGGCAGCAGTGTCCCCGCACCCGCGCCCCGAGCAGGGAAATGGTGGCTGTACAGTGACAACCGTGGCCCCTCCCACAGCCGGGCAGGGCAGAGCCCGGACCCCTCCGGCCTCCCAGGACCCCAGGCCACGCCCCAACTCACCTGCGGGGTGCCGGGGTGCCAGCCTCCCCGAGCCCCGGCAGGGTTTTCCGGAGGAAGCTCCGTGCCTGCTCCCTACTGCTGTCCCCAGGCGGCGTGGCTGCGGGCGTGGCTGCGGGCGTGGCTGCGGGAGCCGGGGCCCTGGCAGCGGGGCCGGGGCTGGGCGCGGCTCCAGGCGCCTGGAAGAAGCGCTCCCGGGCCTGCTGGGTCCTGGAGGCTGCCGGGGTCCAGGCAGGGGCCTCCGCGGGGCCCGGAGATGCTGGGCTGGAACTGAGCTTGGTCTGGGGGGCTGCCACGTGGGGGGTTGCCCGGCTTGGTGGGGTGGCCGAGCGAGGGTCCGGGGCACTCGAGGTCGGGGCAGGACGGGGGCTGACGGTCACCGGGCCCCGTGCCGGCGACGACCACCCTGTCGGGGAGCTGTTGGTCACGCGCGTGCTGGCTTTGCCGCCCAGCAGGCCTGCTGAGGGCCGGGACCCGGCTGGGCTCCCCCCCGGGGCGTGGGAGGAGGTGGTGGCCGGAGGGTCAGCTGCGGCTGGAGCGAAACCTTTGGCAGTTGAGTTGCCCACCACAGGCTCCCAGGTTGCTGGCCTGGCCTTAGGCCCCGCCTCCTTCTGCCCGCTCGCCTCCTGGGCCTTCCGCGGGGCGCTGGGGGGCTTGGAGTCCACAGGGGTGGCCCCTGGCGGTCTGGGGTCCCAGCCTGGCAACTTGGGGCTAGCAGAGGGGGCTTTGGGCTGATGGCTGGAGCAGACGAAGACGCCGGGCTCTCCTGTGGCCCTGTAGGCCCCCGAGTGCAGCGTGTTGGAGCACTGCTGACACCTGGGGGGCAGAGGAAAGCCCCCAAGGAAGCTGCAGGCGTGTGTGTGTCCATCACTCGTTCCCCCCACTGTTCACTCATTCACGCTTTCCCAGGAGCATGCACTTACGTATTCCCGTGTTCACGCATGCGGTCGTTGATTCACTCAACAAACACCTCTTCTCACAGTTGCAAATCATTTTGAGTCACAGCCTCCACCAAGGACACCCCAGGAAGTGTGTGCACACGCACGCACACACACACACAAGCGTGCACGCACACGCAGTCCTACCTGAAGCAGCTACGATGGTAGAGCTTCCCGTCAGCCAGGTGTCGCTGCACGAGGTGCACGTACTGGCCGCAGACCCCACAGATGCTGCTGACGGAGCTGCCCACCGAGGCCTGGCCCTTGGGAGGGGAGGGGGGCCAGCGGACATGTCTGAGCTCCCACCGTGGGCAGGAGACACCGGCGGCCCCAGCGCCCCCTCCTGACGGCCGCCCCATCGATCAGCAGGCGAGAGGATCCCATTTTACAGACCAGAGACTGAGGGAGGCACAGCCAGGCTGGTGCCCAGGCCAGCTGGACGGCAAGGTCAGAGCCTCCAGCCTGGCCCACGGGGAGGGAACTGTGGGGTCCCCCTAACTTTAGGGGTCCCGGGGGCCAGGAGACAGACGCTGGCACCTCCTGCTCCTGCCCCAAGACACAGAAATCCCATGCAGTTCCCAACATCCCGGGGCCACCTTGCTGCAGCTCTGGGGAGCCTGGTGTGACAGCCGGGGACAGCAGGGGGCGCCCAACCACAAGTCACCGCCCGACCGGCGTGGGGACGCCCTCACGCCCTGTGTGGGGCTGGCCCGGGGCAGGGGACACACCCCGCATTCTTTCCCGCCCCACCCAGGAGGGAGGGGACAGAGCAAGAAGCCTGGTGGAGCCCAGAAAGGGCTGGGTTTGGGGTTGGAGCTTGGTCTGCAGGACCTCCTGGGCCTCAGTTTACCCGTCTTTACGATGGGGATCATATCCCCATCACTCAAGGTTGAAGGAGCTGGGGGAGCCAGTCCTGTGGGGGATCTTGATAAACAGCAGCTGAAGGCGCACCCGGGACCCGAGGGGACCCCCGCCCCCCTGCCCCCAGGCACCATGGTTAAGGGGCCATGCTCAGTCCCGTGCGCCCCACTCAGTGAGAGCTGGTGGGAAACCCAAGAACCAGAGGGAGGTGGGCTGGGCGCTTACAGCCTTTGGGGGGGTCCCCTTGGCACCCCCATCCTTCTGCTGGACGATGGGGTTTGTACGAACTGGAGACAGCGGCTGCCCCCGGGCCGGGGTGGGCGAGGGCCTGGCGGGCTGGGACGGGGCCTTCTTCCCTGTCGGTTCCTCATCAGAGCCAGATGGCGGCCTCTTCACACCGGCCATGCCCCCAACTGGCAGAGACACGCAGGGTCAGGGGGCCCGGCCACGGTGGCTCTGAAAGGGTCTGCTCTGGGTCCCCAGGAGGGTCCAGTGCCCGGTGCCCGGGCCGTGGGGTGGGATGGGCGGATCCTGCGGTCTGGGGGGCCCGGGGGAGGGGGCAGCCCCAGCGAGTGCATTCCCGGCAGGGGCCTGGCCTCGCCCCCTCGCCCCCGCCTGGCCTCCGCTCTGAGAGCCCTGCTCCGGGCCAGGGAAGAGGGCCTTTTCTGTTCCTCCACAAACTGGGAACAGGGAGGGAGGCGGGGCTGGCCCTGCGCCCAGAGAGATTCCGGGGATTTCTAAGGCCCCCCATGAGGGGTGTGGGGGAGGGGAAGCGGCTGAGCCACTGAAGCAGCTGGAATAAAGTCCCCCGGGCCGCCCCTGCCCGGCCCCCTGCTCCCCTCCCCTCCTGCCAGGCCAGCCCGTTGCCATAGGGCCGAATGTCAGGACCAAATGGGGGGCATCCGGGGCCAGGCCTGGGAGCCCCCGCGGGGTCTGCCAAGCCACCAAGGCAAGAGCTGCGGGAACAGCGCCCCCCAGGGGGAGAAGAACAGACCCAGGCCCAGGAAGGGGAGGAGGGGTGGGCCCGCGGCGGGGGGGCGGGTGGGGGTCCCCACTCACTGGGGGAGCGCCCGTGGAAGTAATTGTAGTATTGAGACACGTAGGTCAGGATACTCAGCCGGTCGGGCACCTTCAGGGCCACCATGTCCTCGGCATCCAGCAGGGCCGGGATGCCCAACTGCTCCTCTGCCACGCGGAAGGCCTGGGGGATGGGGGCGGTCAGCAGGGGTCGGCTGGGAGACCCCTCCTCTTGGCCCGGCTGCCAACTCGACCCAGGAGGCAGTGGGGGGCAGAAAGGTCAGGTTCAACGTTGGAGCTCTGCTGGCCTATGGGACCTCCCTGGCCTCAGTTTACCCATCGGTACAATGGGGACACATCCGGACAACGCAGGACTGAGGAGCTCAGGGAGCCAGCCCCATCGCAGGGGAGGGCTCTTGGTAAACAGCAGCTGAGGTCGTGCCCTGGATCCCAAGGGGACCCCACCCCGTCTCAGGCTATTTGTTCTGAGGACTCCGGTCCCATGTTACCCTCGAGCCCCCTTGAGCGCCCCACGCCCCCCGTGCCCCTCAGCCTGGCAAACACCAAGCTTTGTTTGGTTGGGAGTAGCTTTCTCCACGGGCGGGGCCGTCTCCGAGGCCAACAGGGGACACAAGGGCCGCCTGTGTCCTGGGAGCCAAAGCGAGGTGGGGGGGCATTCTGGGGCTGGGACAGACGCCCTGGGCTGGGCGCCTCCCAGGCCAGGGGACAGGGCACACCCGCCCTCCCAACCCGGCGGTCTTGGCTCTCCTTCCACCCCCATCATTCCTCCTCTGCCCCCAACTCTGCATGTGGGTGTCGGCGTGTCCATCCTCACCCCCACCTCCCTTGGCCAGCCCAGCCGGCCTCCTGCCTTCAGTCCCCATCCCTCACTTGAGGACTCCCACACTTCCGTCTCAGAACCTTCCCTAAACTGCCTACGACCCCCACGCGGGTGTCCCATGGCAACACCTCAATCTTCACGAGTCCAAAACAGGGCTCCTGGGCCCTCCCAGACCCGCAGCCCGCGCCCACAACAAACCCTAACACCAAACAAACAAACTCCTCTTCAAAATACGTCCAGGACCTGACTCCCTCCCCTGCCACCACCGGCCCTCCCCTCCCTTGGCCCCTGGCCTCCCGCCCTGAGCACAGGTCTTGTGGAACCCACGGCTCCCAGCACAACAGGCTTCAGGGAAGAGGCCAACCCCTTCCCACAGCCCCAGCCTGCCTCTGTCTTCCCCACTCTGTTCCAGCCACACACAAACTCTGTTCCAACCACACCCCCACTATTCCAGGAACCCCACTCTGTTCCAGCCACACTCCTGCTGTTCCAGCCATGCCCTCACACTGTTCCAGCCGTGCCGCCACTGTTCCAGCTGTACCCCAACTCTGTTCCAGCCACGCTGCCTTGTTTCTCCTACAAGCTGGGCACCCTCTGGCCCCAGGGCCTTTGCCCGTGCAGTGCCCCCCCCAGGCAGCGCTTTCTCCAGATGCCCGTGGGGCTCCCTCAGCTTTACTCTTACCCAGCGAGGCCCTCGTCCCCCAAAGAAACCACATACCACGGCCCCCAACACCCCTCCCCCTGTCCTCCTGGCACTTGTCCTGCTGACAGGCCACACTGTCGTCAGCGCAGTCCAACAGAGCTTTGTGACGCTGGACCTGTTCTGTCCCAGCCGTCCGCGTGTGGCTAGGGAGCGTCTGAAATGCAGCCAGCGCGGCCGAGGAAACGAATTTATCGTTTTATTCCATCTTGAGTCAAATGCACATTCAAATCGCCCACACGCAGAGGTCACCGTCCGTCCCCGCCGGAGGGCACAGCAGGGGCACAGCAAGCCCCCAACAGACGGACGGAGGGACGGACGGACAAGGGGGTGGCTCTGCCTTTCTGCCGTCAGCCCATGGGGACAACGGGGTACAAGGCCCCCGGGGCTGGCAGCGTGGGGAAGGGTCTCAGGGCTGGCCCGGAGGGGCAGGGTCCGAATCCAGGCTGGCCGGCCCACGGGGCTGGGACAGAGTGGTCAGGCCCCTGCCGCTGGCCTATCCCACGACCCACCAGGGCCCCGCCCTCCCAGAGCCGCCCCTGCACCCTGGGGGGAGGGAGGGTCTGGCAGCCCCCCTCTCCGTCCCCCACCAAGAAAAGGAGGGGAGCAGGAGGGCCCCACGCAGGGGCAGAGGTGCTTCTGGGGAGTGACTCCCACGGCCGCCCCGGAGGAAGGCTGGACCCACCAGGGGGCCCGGCGGGCAGCCTCCAGGACCCGGGCTGGGGGCGTGGGGCAGACCGTCCGCGAGGAGGAACGGGGACTCACCAGTTTGTTGTTCTCGTAAATGTTTTCCTTCCTGAGAGCATCGAAGTTTCTGGAAAGTAAAAATACAGCTCAGAGTCCAGAAGGAAGGGGCTGGAGGGCCTCAGAGGTCACTCTGCCTAAATGGGGAAACCGAGGCCTGAATGGGGCTGTGGAGGAGTGAGGTCACACAGCGACCGTGAGGAGGGCAGGGCTGGGCACAGGGATGCCGGCCAGCCCCTCGGTCACCTGGGCGCGGATGCCCTAGGTCGGCCCTGGCAGCCTTCGCCTCCCGTGCTCTGCAAGGCCCAGCCCACACCCTGCCCTGCCCGCATCTGGGTGGCCGCGGGGTTTGGCCCAGAGAGGCAGAGCGCCAGCCCGGGCGGCCCAGCCAGGAATAGCTCCCAGTGGGCTGCTTTCAAACCCTGAGACGCTCAGGGCCCTGGTGGGTCACGGGAGGCCAACGTCCAGGGGCGAGACCACAGGGTGGACATGAGGCTCCTGGGCAGGGAGCAGAGCCGACGAGCAGTGAGGGACAGAGCTCCACGCTGCCCAGCGGTCAGGGCAGGCCGAGCCCTTGCTCCCTCCTCCGTCCGGTCATCACTGTCTTTACCCGGCACCTCCCACGATCGCCCCGGCTCTCAGCTCTACACCCACAGACGCTATCACGCCCGCCTCTCACGGATCAGGAAACTGAGGCACAGAGAGGCTCCGTGACCTGTTGGAGGTCACACAGCGAGGAAGACAGGCCCCGGTGCCAGCGTCCAGGCATCTAAGGTTTGACCAATCGGGGAGTGGCGTTAAACGTCCCTGGTGCCCAGCTCCCTCCTGAGGGGGCACCTCAGAGCCCCCGCCCTGAACACACACTGGCCCACAGAGGCGCAGCCACGGTTCCAAAGGCCAGGAGGAGCCACGCACCCGCTCCAGGCTGGCCCCAGACTCCACACGCCATGGCCACACACCACGGCCGCTGCACCCCAGGGCCTGTGAGCAGACCACACGGCTGACCCCTGCCGTGGCCCGGCCCCGGAGCCCCTGGGAGTGCTGGTTAAATGCCCATCTGTCCGTCTGTCCCCGTAGCATCTGTGGGGTCCTGGACGGCAGCCTTGCCACTTCGGGGTGAATGGATTGTTCCAGAAGCCACACGGCATGGGAGAGAGCTCAGGCCTGGAGCCATGTCCAGACGCACCCAGGCCGCACTGCCTGAGCCCCGATGAGCCCTCTCTCCTCTCCTGGCCTCAGTGTCCCCGTCTGACGGTTCTACTGCAGCTTCTGATAGAGAATTTGGGGACCCTGGCTGAGGCCAGGCAGGTCTCAAACGGGGTACCCAAGACCCCACAGCCACCTGGCCTGGGATGGCCTGGCTCCAGCCCTGACCTGCACTGACCCCACCTCTCTGACCCCATAACAACCCTGGAAGGCCCATCACACAGATGGGGACACTGAGGCCGGGGTGGGGGCAACAGCCGGCTCTCGCCACTGGGAGTGGGGAGAGGACGGGGCAGTGGTCGGCCCGCCGCCCCACGCCCCGCAGGAGGCCCCGCCGGCCCCCCGCCCTGCCATCCGTTCATCAACCTGCCCAGCTCTCCGGGAAACCTCGCCGTTTCCGCTCGGACCCCCTCCCAGGTAACGCGTTCCAGATGCCGAGACCACCCCGTGAGCACAGAGGGTGCTTTTGTGCTGCGGACCAGACAGGGATGGGTCTGTCTGCGGGTGGACAAATGACCGGAAGGAGCGGGAAGGGTGGTGTGGCACCCGCTTGCTGGGTGGTGCTGTCCGCGCAGCCGTTACACCCACCTCCCATCCTGGGTGGACCCCACCAACGTCCACGGGCGGGGAGGGGCCAGTCTCCGTCCCTCGTCCCAGGGGCTCTCTGCACGCTGGCCCTCAGTCCTCTGCATCAGGGGGCTCGGAGCCCCTCCCTCCCTCCCAGCCCCATCCCTCCGAGAGCTCAATGTCTTCTCCAGACCTGCCCCGGGTCACTGACCCAAACAGCAAGATGCCCGGGGCTGGAGGGCAGGATGACAGGCTCTGTTTTGTCTCCAAGCAAGCAGGAGAAGGGGGCCCTCCACCCCCGGGGCTGCCTCAGTCCACCCCCCGCGCTGCCTCGGTCCACCCCGGGGGCTGCAGCAGCTCCGTCCTCTGGGCCCTCTCTTCCTCCAGACCCAGGGCGAGCATCTCAGAGCTTCAGGTGGATTGAGGCACCCACAATAAGTGAGCAGGGCTAAAGGGGCGCAGGCTGGAGGTGGCAGAATTGCCCTCCACTCAAGTTCAAGGGCCACCGCCCCATAGCACCACGTCGCAACGGCTCCCCTGGGCCCTCAGGGCCTCCATGGCTGGGCCGGACCGCCCTGGTCAGTCCCACAGCGGCTACACCTCTCCAGACCAAGACCCCTCCAAGTACGTCTCCGCCAGCCTCTGGGCTTCGCTCAGGCTGTTCCCTACGCCCGGAACGCCCTTTCCCATCTCTGCCCAGCGCACCGGCCAGGCCCCTCCCCAGAGGCTCCCCGCAGGTCCCCAGGCAGACACTTCTCTGCCTTCGGCTGGCCGAAGCATGAGCTCACATCCCCCCACAGCATGGGGTTCAGCTGGCATCGCCCTAGTCCCCGAGGGCCACACGGCCCGGAGCTCTGAGGCCAGGCGCTGGCGGAAACCGTGGAGTCGGAGCTGCCTTGCAAATCCCTTCAGAGGGCGCCAAGCAGGGACCCCACCCGTGGCTCTCAGGAAGCCCAACAGGACCAGCCTTCCGCCAGCGCGGGGGCCCTGGGGGGATGGGCTGAATTGTGGCCCCCCAAAAGATGTGCTGGGGTCCTGACCCCAGGACCTCTGAACGTGACCTGACTTGGGAACAGGGCCCTTTCAGAGAGAATCAAGTCAAAATGAAGTCGCCCGGGTGGGCCCGAGTCCAACGTGACAGGTGTCCTTATAAAAGGGGGAATTTGGATGCAGAGATGCCCACAGAGGGAAGATGATGCGAAGGCACAGGAGGACATGGCCGTCTACACCCATGGCAGGGGCCTGGGGTGGACTGTCGCTCAGCCTCAGGAGCCAGCCCTGCCGACACCCTGATCTCGATTCTGCACTGATCGGCGGGACGATGCGTTCTGGTGTCAAGCACCCAGGGCAAGACTGTGTCCCGAAGGCCCGGGAGATGGACAGCCAACTTCGGCTGACGTGCTGGACCGAAACGCGTCAGCTTCCCCCCGGCTCGGCCGAGAACCTGCGCACCGGGTGGGCTGGGGCCCGGGGCACCGTCCCGAGTCAGATCATTTTTTTTTTCAGTCGAACTCCCTTAATTTAAAATCCAGTATATTCTGTACAACTCCTGGGTACCTGCCATGGGGCCAGGCATGCAGCTGGCGCTCTATAAATGCTCGCTGATGAATTAATTCATCCAGTGCTGGCCTAGTGAGGGGACTTTCGTGGCATCCGTCCATCCTTTCAACCTTGGCAGATGAATGAACTCATTGGGTCTATATGTCCGACGTGCGACTATCCTCTCTCCCCTGTCTGCCCAGTGCCAACCAGTGCCCAGCCCTGGGGCCGCCTGGCCCGGCTGGGAGAGCCTGAGGCTCAGCCCCGGGTCTGCCTCCTGCTGGCCACAGCCACCCAGGACCCCACAGCTGCCCAGGACCATGAACCCCAGATTGTCGAGCCAGCCAGCCCCCTACCTGGAGGGAGAGGTTCCAGGCACAGGAGATTCAAGACACGAGCGACCTCGGGAGAGGGCAGAGGCCGCCTGGGGTCGAGGCACGGAGAAGAGGTCCCAGTGGGCACAGGGCTGCGTCCCAGGGCCCCACCTTCTTGCCACCAGGTGGGCAAACGAGACACCTCGGCCTCCAGATGCAGAACTGCCCAGACTGGAGCAGACCTGGCCCCTCGCCCCCGCCCCAGAGCAGGGCCCAGCCGGGAGGGGTCAGCCGGGGATCTCCAAAGTGGCCCGAGAGGGGCATCAGGGGGCCACCGGGCCCTGGGCTGTCCCCAGGGCGGTGGGCGGGCAGCCTCTTTCCAAGCCCATCCTGGAGAGGCTGGCCGGAAGGCAGCAGCTGGGCCTGGGCAGCGGGCCCTTGGGCCAGGGAACAGAAGGCCTCTGTCCCCAGGCCGCTTCCTGCTGACCGAGAGCCCGGCATGGGGGGGAGGGCAGCCCAGGCCCCCCACCCTCTGCTCTGGCCCACCAAAGGAAACAGGGCTGCTCCGAGCTTCTGGGGGGCCCTCTCCTGACCCCCCAGCAGAGTGTGTCTCCAAGAGCGGGCAGGGAGACGCCCCTGCTTCCGGCCCCCGTGCTAGAGGCACAGGTCACCTCACAGTGGACAGAGTGAGGAGGCCCGGCCAAAATGCAGCAGGTCCCTGACTTCCTGACACCCTCCCCGGGCCCCTCCATGACCCCTCCAAGCGGTCCGGCCTCCAGCGCCGGGTGGCTCCCTGGCCACCCTCCTCCCGCCACCTGGAAACCTCAGTCCCTGCAGGTCCCAGGTCAGGCCGGAAGGGGAAAGAGGCACTCCAGCCCTGACAGGCTGACTGCCCAGGGGGCGGGAGGGGGCTGTTTGTTCTGGGCGGTGCTGAGCTCACCTGGCTGCTTGGCAGACGTGGCGTCACCGCGGAAACAGGCCCTGCGGGTGGGCAGGCGGGCGGGTGGCTGGGCAGGTGCCCTTGAGGTCCCCCTGCAGAAGACCTGCATCGGCGGGGCGGGCATTGCTGGGTGGGCCCCGAACAGAGAAGCACGCGAACTTCCCAGGGTCCCCGTGGCGCCACCAATGGGGGTGGCACGTGCCTCCCGGAGCCGGGGCCCGAGGAGCAGGTGGAGGCAGAACCAGGAAGTGCGTCCGGAGACCCGAGTCCCCCACCTGGCTGGCTCGGCGCCCGCCAGCTCCTTTGCAGCTGCTGCCCGTGGCCCGGCCAAGAGGAAACAGCCTCGTACAGCAGGAAGCATAGACGAGACAAGGGAAGGATGTCCTGGTGGCAAAGGTGGGGGACCTGGAGACAGGATGTCCACTTTCCTGCTGCCAGAGGCTTGTCCCCAGACGGGGGAGTCGGGGGGGCTCCCCCAAGAAGACAGCCACCCCGAGCGGCCCTTCAGCACCGGGGCTGGGGCACGCAGGCAAGCCTGTACTTGTTTCGGCTGCTGCCGTAATGAATGACCGCAGACCGGGCGGCTTCAAACCACGGCCATGCATTCCCTCACAGCTCTGGGGGCCAGAAGCCTGACATCACGGCTCCCTCCGGAGCCTCTGGGGGCGATGCTGTTCCTCGTCCCTCCCAGCTTCTGGCGGCTCCAGGTAGTCCTTGGCTCGTGGACACAGCATCACTCCAGGCTCTGCCTCCTCTCCCTGCAGAGCCCTAACCGTGCAATGACAACTCCCGAACTCCTACCATATCTACTGAACCCCGAATGCACGACCTCGCCCATAGAACTCCCACTCCATGCTAACATCTACTGAGCGCTGTCATGTGCCGGGCACGCTTCCAGGCACGGGGGACCCAGCAGGGAACAGAGCAGAGACATCCCCGCCCTGCTGGAGCTGAGTCCAGTGGGGGCAGATGACAGGACGATAACCGAGTCAGCAGTAAATAAGATAGCTCGGTGCCCACGTGTCACTGCAGGTGGGAGGGCGGCCTCCAGTCCTCCCTGCCCCAGCCCTCGGACTCTGCAGCTACCTTGAGCTGTTATTTGTGCATCTGTGCGCCCTCTGTCTCTGTGACCACAGCGTCACTCAGTGAGGCAGGGGCCAAGGCCGTCTTGTACGGGATGCAGGGCCGAGTACACAGTAGGCACTCAATAACGGTTACACGGGCAGCTATAGGACGCCTGTGTGTGCCGGCACGTGGACACACCCATGTGTGCCCTCCTGTGCTCACCGCGGGCAGTGCGTGCCAGGACAGGCATGCACACACACACCCAGGCCTCCAGTCCCAGCACAGCTGGGAGCCCCTGGAAGCTCCCGGGGCTCGGAAAGGCCCCAAATCTCCAGTTATACTGTCATGCTGGGGCTGCTGTGCTGGCAGACAGGGTTGCCATCTTTCCCTCCAATCACAGACTTCTGCGGATCCCGCCCAGGCTGCCTGGGCTCTGTCCCCAGCCAGCCTTACCCAGGACCCTGCACGCACCCCTGTGGGACTCAGCCTCCCAACCGCCACTCCTGGTTCCTCTCCCCGTCTCCACGTCCCCAGCTCACCCCCATCAAAGTTCAGCTTCGGGTGCTGAATGCGGAACCACATTCTGCCCCACTGTCTCCTGCCTCCAAGGGTGGCTGAGGCACAGCCCGGCATGGGGAGCAGCAGCTGCTGTCCAGATGCCACGTGGGGGCTCCCCATGGGGCCCCACAGATGCATTTCCCAACCTCGGGCAGGAAGGGGAAATACCTGCAGGCCTCTTTCTCAAGGCTAGAGTCTCCGCACAGAGGGGTGCTTGGGGACAGTCCCCGGGGGGTACAGGGGACATCTGGGTGCAGGGGAGGTGCCCCAAGCACCAGCCCCGGCTCTGCCTGACGTGCTCTGTGACCGAACAAGGGTGACTCCTCTCTGGGACTGACTTGCCCCATCTGTACAGTGAGAGGCCTGACCAAGGCAGGATCTGGAAGGTGTGGCCTCCATCCGGCCTCTCCCAGCCCTGAGACCTCCCCGGCAGGCACACACCCACCCCGCAGGCTCCAGCCGCCACCGCTCTAGACAATGCTCGTGAACACCACACTTTCTCCAGAAGGCGCCTGGGCTGCAGGTAGCCTTCCAAGAACACACTCCCTGAGCCTCCGCCCATCCAGCCCCGCCAGGCCCCCTTGCAGCGGCCAGTTCACAGGAGTCAGGGGACCGGGGCCTTCCTGCACAGAGCTCTGTCTCGGCAAGCCAGGTCCCAGTCACAGCCAAAGACAGTTTGCTGAGTGAATAACAGCTGGAGTGGGTCCAGGGTGGGGACAAGATCCAGCAACAAGGAGGGGCCAGCCTCCTAGCCTGGACTCCAAGACCCTCCACAGGGGGAGATGACCTAGCCCCCTCCCCTGCGCACTTCCCGCCTCTCCCAGGACGCAGGCCCAGCCCCCATCTCAGCCCCATCACCCTCAGCTGTGGAGGCCTGG